TTGCTGAGAGGGGCTGGTTCCCGTTTCAGCACCCACTTGACTGCTACCTCACCGGTCCTGGGGCTGTCTTCCCAGCCACCTGTGCTCAGCTTATGAAATGTCCCACATTCAGTTCAGCTGAACAAGATAAATCCAGCTGCTGGTAAAAGGTTTTTTTTTATTGAAGGACTGTGGATGTTAAATATCTAAATGGCCAGTCCTTATAATGAAATGCATGAGCCTGTGCCTTCCCAGGCGGCACGCCTTTGGCACAATGTGATACCCTCTCTTTGCCCATCACTGGAGAGAGAAACAGGGTCTTGGGCACTTAAGGCAGGTCCTAGAATATCTATCCCATCATCACACTAATGGGGGCCCAAATCTTCATTCCTGTGAGTGTACCACCTGTGGCCTGCATGAGGTGTTGACCAGACATAGGTGACTCAAGGGAGCCCCTTCTCTGAAGACCTAGCGCTCGCACTCCATGGGAGTGCCAGCACCCTTCCACGTCTAGTGTGAGGTGTGGCCTGTTCCCGAGAGGCTTGCAGGGTTAGGTCCATGAGTAAGTCCGTTCCTGGGTACTGGTGGAAAGTTTAGGTAGTCTGTCCAAAGTTACACCAGCACTGACTGATGTCACCACAACCAGTGAAAAGAGAAAAGCAAAGTAATGCTTAAAATTCTCCAAGCCGGGCTTCAACAGTACGTGAACCATGAACTTCCAGATGTTCAAGCTGGATTTAGAAAAGGCAGACAAACCAGAGATCAAACTGCCAACATCTGTTGGATTCTCAAAAAAGCAAGAGTTCCAGAAAAACATCTACTTCTGCTTTATTGACTACGCCAAAGCCTTTGACTGTGTGGATCTCAATAAACTGTGGGAAATTCTTGGAGAGATGGGAATACCAGACCACCTGACCTGCCTCCTNTGGAAGGACTGATGTTGAAGCTGAAACTCCGATACTTTGGCCACCTGATGCGAAGAGCTGCCTCATTTGAAAAGACCCTGATGCTGGGAAAGATTGAAGGCAGGAGGAGAAGGGGACGAGAGAAGATGAGATCATTGAATGGCAACACCAACTCCATGGACATGAGTTTGAGTGAGCTCAGGGAGTTGGGGATGGACACAGAAGCCTGGCGTGCTGCAGTCCACGCACGGGGCCGCAGAGTCAGATGTGACTGAGCTGAAAAGTCAAAGAGTTTTTGTTTTTCAGTGTAAATCTTGTTCATGTTTTGTGCAGAGCATCTCTTGGGATTTATAAACTGACACCTGATTCCTAGTGTTTGAACTTGCAGGGGAGTGGCCTCTATCACAGACCGCTCCTGGCCAGACTCCGGCTCCTTCTGGCTGAAGATGACCCCTTTTGGCTTCAGGAGGATCCTGAACTGGTTGAAGGAGGAGTACAACAACCCCCCAATCTATGTCACAGAGAATGGAGTGTCCCATCGGGGAGAAGCATACCTCAACGACACTGCAAGGATCTACTACCTCCGCAGTTACATCAATGAGGCACTCAAAGGTATGATGGGCCTACCCCTTCCTCTGTGTGCCTTTTATTGTTGGAAACATCTAACATCTGCAGCTGATACTGCACCCACGAGTCTCAGAAAGGTGAGGCTTCTACCTCCTTTCGTGTTTAAGCCTTTTTGGGGGGCTGCACACTAAGATTTTTCCTTCCTACATTCAAGTTCAGCAAGCAAAACCCTGTTGCCTGATGCAGCTGGACCCGAGTTCCTGGCCTGCCCTTTTCTGTCTGAGCCTCCAGTGTCCATATCCCTGAAGAGCAGCGGCCTCCTGTGGACAGTCTGGGCAGGGCCCAGGAGGAATGGGCTGGAGAGATTGTATTATCTTTTGTTCCCCAAGCAGAAGTCTGAGACCCTTACAGTTCAGCAGAACAACCAGGGATGGGACTAGGACAGGGGAATGTAAGTAATGCTGAGTAAAAGAAAGTGAGCAACGCAGCAGCAGAGAGAAACAACTAGAAAATCTTATTCCAGATAAAATCTTTCTCAAGGGTCCCTTGAGACTCTGCCCAAGAACAGTATCCCAAGATGTGAAGATGATGATAGCTGACTCAGCAGGGTTTAATTTAGTCTACACATGTTCCTAGCTCCCAATTAGGGCTAAGCCTGTCTAGAAAAATACAGATGGCTCTGTGGTAACACCAACGGGGGACCAGCTAATGATTCCTCCATGCAGGGGGGGGCTGCTCTCTCCAAGAGCTGAAAAAAAGCTCGCCTTGACCTGCAGTTGGGGACTGTAGGAGCACTGTGGGCAGGCACAGCCCCAGCAGGCCTGGTGGAGAGGGGCTTAGACCATCAGAGCAGCTCATGCTGGGGCCTCTGTCTTTGAGCAGCTATGCAGGATAAGGTGGACCTTCGAGGATACACGGTTTGGACTCTGATGGACAACTTCGAGTGGGCCACCGGCTTCTCAGATAAGTTTGGTTTACATTTTGTGAACTATACTGACCCTGCTCTGCCAAGGATCCCCAGAGAGTCAGCCAAGGTCTACGCCTCCATAATCCGGTGCAGTGGCTTCCCCGACCCTGCTGCAGGGCCACACCCTTGTCTTCAGCAAGAAGGTGAGCTGTGGCTCTGGGATGGACAAAGCTAGAGGGGGAGGGTCAAACGGGCCTCTCTCAGTCCATTTTCTTCTAGTTTATTACTAGCCCTCCCTGCTTCTCCATTCCCTTCATTCATTCAATCAGTATTTTTTCTTTGAATGCTCCAGACATTCTCAGGATGGAACAAAGGTATCAAGGGCTAAAGTTACATCTAGAAACTAGGCCCTGGCCTGCAAACAGCAAGTTTAGATTCTTGCCCCAGCCCTGCCACTAACTTGCTGTGTAACCTCAGGCAAGAAATGAGGCAAATGCTACGCTGAGGCCAGGATCAAATAGTGACTACAAATATTGTGCCTGGCACATTGTAAGGTGCCCAAGATTTGCTGAACGACTGACAAAGTATAAATTACTATACAAATTAAGAGACAATTATCCAGTATAGGTTATACTCTAATTGCTGAGAGAGATGCTTAAAACTAAAACTACGTTACTTCTCTCATAACTCATGAGAAGGATGTGCACAGTCACCTCAGCAATGTGCTGACCTTGGATACCAGGGCAGCTTCTCTCCTGCAAGGATCTGGCTTGGGCTTAATAATCTAGGTCAACATGATGCAATAACTCCACCTGTACTGGTACATAAACTGCCTGTTGTCCTCTCCTAGATGCTGAGCCCACCGCCAGCCCCGTGAGACAGAACATTCAGTTCCTGGGCCTCAGGCTGGGTACGATGGAGGCCCAGAGAGCGCTTAATGTGCTCTTTGCTCTGATGCTTTTTGGATTCTGTGGTGTTGCACTTCTGTCCTACAAGTACTGTAAGAGCTCCAAGCAAAAGCACTCCAAGCAAAAGCACACACAACCAGGCCAAGAGCAACCGAGCCACAGTTCTTCACTCTGACCCAGAAGACCACCTCCTCCAGTTCTGTAAAATATGCCTAGTTTCTTTGCAAGTCTTTGCTACCCCCGGCACCACTGAGGATCTAATATTCTGTCTATAACAGACTTAAGTCTCTGCATTCTTAGACACTAATTGTGAAGGATTTCAAGTCCCTGATTAAAGTGGAAGCATGCCCACCTGCCCCAGTATCAGGAATTCATCTGGGCATTAGAAGACCCTGCAAGTGGCTCCTGTGGAAATACGTAGTTACTGAATTCAACTTACTAGGTTCTGTGAGTCATTTAACTGAGCTGTTTTAATTTTCAGAGATTTTTAAAGGTGGAAACATTAGTAAAAACCACAGCAATCCTTTTCATGAAAAGATTAACCACTAGGTCATCTCTTGCTTTAAAATCCCTCCCAACCTCCCTTACCTTCTGTTTCTCAAAAACTGAAAAAGGTGCTATGTCTCCTACAGGTGCTTCTCCTCAGAAGACAGGTTCCACAGAAGTTATGAACATCCCCTTTTACAGCCTCACCACATTAATCCTCTGCTATTGGCTTCTGGAGGCCAGAGGACCAGGATTCAGTGTCTCTGGCAAGCACATTTTCGGAGACAGGACAAAGGGAAGAACACCCACTACATCTGTATGTTTATTCACAAAACATTCAGAGAAGTGGGTGAGTCTATCACTTCCATTCAAATGTGCTCATGAGACAATCACAGTATGGAATACTCAAACTTATTTAACCTATATATTCTTTCCAGATATCTAGGTGATTTTTTAAAAATAGTTTTCAATTGGTTTTAAAAGGTTGATCATGCTCAAGACGTAGAGAATTCCTACCCGAGTGACCCACTACTGTGGGCCCCAACCTGGCAGTCAAGATTGTGGGGCACCAGCATTTCCTCCCACCAACAGACAGGAAAAGTTGATCAGATGGGGTGAAGATGGTTCTAAAACTGCTATAAGCTGTCAATTTTATGTAAATTAATCTTCAAGTCAGTATAACTTTTCTGCAGGGGTAGGGCAGGAAATGGAAAATAAAGTTGCACACAGAACTAATTTGTAAAGAGCAAGGATAAACTGGGGGGAGGGGGTGGGGAGAAAAAAAATATAAAGCTAGTTATAGTTTTAAAACAGAGTGAACAGAAAGATCAACAAAGGAAGACAGAGGCTAGACACAGACCAGCTACATACCAAGGACAGGGTGCATGATAGAGGTGACCTGCCAAATGAGGTGGGGAGGGCAGTAGAAGGGTGATGATGGACCAGTCCATAAATGGAGGTGGGTCACAGGTCAGTTCTAAGGATGTTAGTCACAGGCAGGGGAAGGGAGCCACATTCCTTACTAGGATGTAAGATTTAAATGTAAAAAAATGAAACCCATGAGAATGTTAGAAACCCATAAGAGTGCTAGAACAGACAGGTGAGGTTTTTTAAAATTACTTTTTGAAGTGGGAAAAGTATTTTATATTCAAGACTTAAGACCCAGAGGTCATAAATAAAAACACTGATTAACAGGACCACATAAAAATTATGGCAAGAAATTACCATCAACATACTCATCACAAGATGAACAGGGAGAAAATATTTATAGCATATGCTAGACAAACAGCTAACTTTCTTAATATACATGAAATTTGTTGTAAATCAGTAAGAAAAAGATAAACACAAAATGAAAACTGGCAAAGAAAACACAGGCAGTTCTCAGAAAATAAAATAACCAATAATATTAAAAGATGTTCACTTTCATTCACAATCAACATGATGCATATAAAATGCATACCATTTTTCATCTATCATGTGGATAAAGATGAAAAAATGTAATACACTGTTGGCAAGGATGTGGGCGTATCCACATTCTCCAACTGTTAGCGGGGCTGTAAATTCACAGAGCCTTTAGAGGAGGCAATTTGGCAGCATTTTTTTTTTTTTTTGGCAGCATTTTTTATAATCCAAACTGCAAATACCCTTTGACTCAGTGACTTACAGGTATACTTCCACAGCTAAGATGATACCTTCCCAAAGATGATGTTCACTGTAGCAAAGTTTGTAATAGAAAAACAAAACAAGCACATAAACTGTAATAACCAATGAAAGCAATAAGAGAACAGGTAGTCTACCAAGTAAAATGCTTTGCATCCATTAGTAAGAATGAGGTAGCTATGGGCTAATGGGGAAAGATCTTCAAGACCGTGTATGTTAAAACGCAAGATGCAGAGCAGTATACATATAATATGATCCCATTTATTTAAAAAATAAAGATTACATACTTGCCTATGTACACATAAAAATTTTCTGAAGACTAGAAGAGAAACTTAAGACAGATTACTTCTGGAGACTAGAACTGGGTGTGGTGCCAAGAGGAAGACGTCATTTTATAGCCTTCCATACTGTTTTGAATTTACCATTATACTTTTAAAAATATTAAATTGAGGAAGGATCCTCGTACTCAAAGATTGTGAATCATTGTTTTATGTATGTTTCTCTAAGATCTGCATTTGATTTTTTTCCAAGGGAAAATTGTTTTTTTATTCACATATTGCTGTATTTTTCAAGATGACAAACCTTTACTTAAATGAGATGCTTGCTGGAGATGTATCTATTTCAAACTCATTCCTTAAATTATGAAAGTAATTTCATTCTAGAAAACTGAGAAGACATATAAGGATGCAAAAAGAACTAAAATCATAATATAAATCACTCTTACTGCTGTTGGTTTTTCTTTCTTTATGTTAACACATACTATATATGATGTGTTTATAAAGTTGAGATCATACTGTATCTACAGCTCTGTATCCTGCTTTTCCCCCAAACACATAACAAATAGTCAATAAATATGTTAAATCAAATTGCTGAATTAGTATTGCCCCATTTTTCCTTAGCAAAAGTTAATTCTGCAGAAGGCATGTAGTTGGTTTCTGAGGTAAAATAAATAAAACTTAACAGGTTTATACCTAAATTTTGCCTGTATTTATGATCATGCCTTAGAAAAACTTTTTAGATCAAAAAGCATGAAATTTTTAAGGTTTCTGATAATGTTTTTTCAGAGAGATTATCCTAGTTTTCACTCCTACCAACAACATACCTGGTCTGTTTCCTTGCCAACACTATTAGCATTGTTACTTCACAGGTGAAACACAAAATTTGCTCTGAGAAAATTTCCTCCTCCCATTACAAAATAAAGTCAGAGCCCTTCTACAATGTTAAGTATCTCCCAATCTAAACACAAAAGGTTAGAAAGCAACAGTCAAAATTACTCCCTTTTCCAGACATTCTTAGTTTCTTCACCAACATAAACATATCACATCATGTAAATCAGATTAAGAATCCAAAATTCTTAAGAATAACCAAATGAGCAAGAGGCAAATCTTAATTGCCTACTTCATGCCCAACAGTACAGGTTCGTGATTTCTTTGAAGAGTGACTATCATTACTGAGAGCAAACTCCAGTATAAAAGTGAGAAGGAGCTGTGGACCAGCAGTCGTTTTACATCCAGTGAGAATAAAGGCCACTACGTTACGCAAATAAAATGCTGCCTCCCTGACTTAGGAGAGATACTAACATAGCATCAGTGTGTGTCAGAAGATTTCTTCCTACAGTGATATTTATGATAAAAGTGGTCCCTCCTTTCCTGGGATAGCTCCAGGCAGTACAGGTGGGTGGGGGGATTCAGAGACACATGACCTCCACAGAGCCCTGTGCAACAAAAAGATGCTAGAATAACAAAACTTAGAGCAAAGATCAGATCATTCTGATTTTTGGAAAAGTTTTTTTATTCAGTGTTTAAGTAAGATTAAAAACTACAAGATTTTGCTTGCAGCTGATGAGCAAGAAAAGTTAAACCCAAATTATCACCTGGCTGGCTAGTTAAAATGTTCTGACTCAGAGTCAGATTACTCAGTGACATAACAGTTACCTTGTGTTGGCTTAGGGATTTTGAGCAAAACAGCCCTAAACAAATGTATCATCTCAGAGCATAGGGCTAAAATGGGCGTATGAAATACTGAATAAGAAAGCTGATAAAGGGAGGCTGTCAGACTTTTTTTTTAGGCTTCTAGCAGTTGATTACCATATACAAGGACCTAGCAGCCAGTTGTCTGATCTCTTAACTTGTCTGAGTTAAACAACTTTAACCCACTAAGCAGGAATAGAGAGACACTTTGTAGATGAGTTGGAACACATAAAGCAGTCCCACTTCTCCAGCAGAATTTTAGCTCAATTAAATCATAAGAGAAACAATGATTTTTGCACATATTGTACTTGTCACACTACATCTGTTGAGTAGAATTCCCATTCCAAGTGTTGTTTTCATCTTCACCATCGTCTTGAGTCCTCAATCTATATATCTTGCCTTCCTTTTTAAAGTCTTCCCCCCGTTTCTCCAGCACTCTTTTTCTGACTGGTTCCCTGATAAAACAAAAGCGGGAGAAAAAGGAAAATGATATAAAATGAAAGCAGCAGTAACACAGAGTCTTTTCCTTTAAACTGCCATTAGTACAAAGACAACTATAGTTTAAGGAAAGTCCACAGGAGATCATTGTATCTACGAATGCTGACTTATATTTGGTGGTTTTTAACTCCATTTGTTCTCTAAGCCAAACCAGTCAAATGTTTCCCATGTCCATGTATTTTTTGATGACTTATTAAGTTTTAGAACAGTGGGACTATCTGCCAACTAATTTGCTCCTTTATTATTTATGCAAGTTGATATATCTACTAAAATACTTATAATTTACACAGCACCCAAGTGGTTATCCCAAACTCCATTCATAGCTTAATATATGGAAATGGTCAATTAGCAATTCTTAACTCTTTCAAAATCTTTAACAGTGATGTATTTCTATGTGGACAATTAACAACAAACAAACCTTCTTCATCTGAAAATGAGAAGGAAACAGGTGAAATTTAAAATACATTCTCCAATACTAGAGAGAAAAAAAAAAAGCAATAATGGAACACAAAGCTTCACCCACTCAGATAAACATCTGTCCCATTCTTTGCCCCAATGCAAGATCTTTTCCCTTTTTTGAATTAAGTTTTTAAGACCCATTCAGCAAGCTCTTTCAGGATGAAATGCTTCCACTCATTGCTCAGTAGGAGTTCTAAAATTCAGACCTAACAAGACCTAGTTTGAATGCTGCTCTATAAGAAGAGAAGAATTTCTCTGTGTCCTCCTCACTTGAGTAATGTACTAAGGATATAACTGGTCTTCTTGCATAATAATAGTTAAAAAGGACATCAAGATAAAGTCTACATCAGCCCAGTAACAATATTCACTCAAATCTTCATTTAGACTGTCAACAGGACACAAGATCAGGGATCTCCTTACAGCAGACAGGGGCTTCCCAGGTGGTGCTAGGGGTAAAGAACCCACCAGCCAATGCAAGAAACATAAGAGATGTGAGTTCAATCCCTAGGTTTGGAAGATCCCCTGGAGGAGGAAATGGCAACCCACTCCAACACTCCTGCCTGGAGAATCCCCTGGAGAGAGGAGCCTGGCAGGCTATGGTCCAAGGGGTCGCAAAGAGTCAGACATGACTTGAAGCAACTTAGCACTCACAACAGACAGAGGCAAGGGTTTTCATTAATTATCAAAGATTGGTGTGAGGATTTGCTACTAATGGCCCAATAAAGTATTGAACAGCAGTAGGTATATAGTGTAATAAATTATGCTATTAATTATCAGAAGGGGGAATAATCTTAAATTTTAAGAAAATACTTCCTGTTAACCTCTTTTAAATATTAAGAAATTTAACAGAGGTGTGAGCTAAGATCATTAGTGCTGTCTACTAGTATTACCATTCTAACCATGGCCATGTGCAATGGTTAAGTAAGTAACCATTAAGTAAGGCCTATCGGTTAAGAAACTAGTGCGAAGTAACTCTCTGAAGAAGACACCATTTTCAAGTGAATACACAGTTTCCTCACTTTGGTCTTCTCTAAATGACTTAGAGAAGGCAGTTAAATTATCTAGAGCACAATGATCCCTCAAAGTAATCATGTGTGATGACTCTAAGAAATTAATGGAATGAACATCTTGTCAGACAAGGTATGGCTAACAAAAAAGATACTGCTATTTAGACCTGAAAGAAGTATGTCTTTTGTTATGGAATAAGATAATCCAATAAATGAAATAATAAAATCAGTAGCAGTGAAGCTGCTTTGCATGGAATAGGTTTTAGAAAGATGGCTGAGAAAACTTAGGTAAGGAGTTTCCCAGGTGATACAATAAAGCTTCAGAACATGCTGGGTTTTCCCCTTTACACAGAAAAAAGGCAAAGTATCTATAAAAATTTTTTTTTCATTTTGAATAAGGCATTGAGAATTACTAATATATTTTGCAAATGGGGAAAACACAAATACCTTTTTTCTGAGTTGCTAGACGAAGCAAGGTTTGAGGTTTCCAGTGATGCCGCTCTCACTGAGGTCTGTGCAGGAGGAGGATTACTAAATAAGAAGTTGCTTATCAGTCTCCAGATGGCAAGGAATGGGTAAAGCACTGTCCCCAACAATGTCCAAAAGTCTCCACTGGAAGAATGTACCATGGATGTAGTTGGTCTTCCTGCCTAAAAATGAAGAAACCAAAATAAAGACTACATCAGCCCAACCACATCACACTCAAGGTTCTAGATAAATTTTTTATCTGGGAAAGTCCTATGGATTTTAGTTTACTGCAATAAAGTAAAACTGCCATCTTTTGCTATTTTTCAAGTGTATATAAACTTCAAGGAACTTCTGGAACTTTTAAGGAGTAATCACAACATAGAAACCAGAAATGAAATGACCAATTACATTTAAGACAACTATACTTTTGTAATGAAGTTAGCAATTTTGATTTTAAAAGTCTTAATGATTTTAAAAAAGAGAAAAGATTTCAAGTATCAATGACTCAAAAAATTCCGAGTACTGGAGGACTGTTTTAGGTTTGAGGCCCTGCTTTCAGTTGGGGTAAACTATAGTCATCCACCCTTAGCTCAGGGGATACTTGCCTGAAACCATGGATCGTACCAAACCCCACATATACTATTTTTTTTCCTGTACATACATACCTGTGATAAAATTTAATTTATAAATTAGGCACAACAAGGGACTATCAAAACTGCCAGCATCATCAGTGTTGAGCTTTGGGGCCATTATTATGTAAAATCAGGGTTACCTGAACAAAAGCACTGCAGTATTTCAACAGTCTCATCGGATAACCAAGAGGGCTGCAAGGTGACTAATGATCAGGCAGCGCGTAGAGTGTGGATGCGCTGGACAAAGGAATGATTCATGTCCCAGATGGGATGACACATTATTTCCTCACACTATCACAATGGCTCGTAATTTAAAACTTATGAATTATTTAGAATTATTAAAATTATTAGGAAAAAAAATTATTAGAATTTTCCATGTAATACTTTCAAAGTGCAGTTGCCCACAAGTAACTGAAGGCAGGGAAAGAGAAGCCGCAGATTTGGGGGCACTACCATACACTAACCAAGCTATGGACAACCCAGGCTCTCATCCCAGCTCTGGCACTTAAGGTGGCACATTTAAATTTTCTGAGCCTCTTTTTTTTTAATATCAGAAATTAAAATGTTGTTAGGATTACTATGTTTAAAACTTAATGTGATTTTTATGTTAAAACTTTTTTTAAAAAAATTGATAAACAGCAATCATACATAAATACATGACACCTGCTCAGAAGATTAGACAGATATTCTACAATGTTTTTCCGACTCTACTGGCCATTTTCTGGACATGAGAAAAGCTGAGGGAAGAAGCTGAAAATGTGTTTATAGTGTGCTGAGTGTTTTACTAGCATTACAAATATAAAGCCTGGGATAATGGAACAATAAATTAATCTAACATTTTTGGATAATTTGGATCCTAATTATCCACAGTATATTTTTTCACTTTCCCTTCCTCTAATTATAAGAAAAAATCAAGAGCAGAACAGACAGACCAGTAAGAATAGAAAAAATAAACATGCATATACATACTGGCAACAGCACCACTGAAGCACTTGGAGCAAGTTCCAAATCCAATAATTTCTTTTTATAATCTTCTTTGGTAAATTCCCTCCTGGGAAACATTGTTGCTAATGAAAAGTTACCGTAAGTGTTGCCAACAGTCTGTAATATAAAAATAAGCTTTAAAACCTTACAGTGGAGCCTTTTAAAGTAAGATATTACAAACTTATACACATTCAAAATGACTGACCTAAAAGTTCACTTAAATATAAAATCAAAACATTCATAAAAACTCTGTGCTTTAAAAAATAGCTGAAGGCTATCAAATACAAATAGTACTTAAAAGCTTTCATAACTCAAAAATGACCACAAAATATCAATATGTTTTCTAATAGTAAGACTAAATAAGATGAATAAAAGTGAATAATTATATATCTTAACTATGACTACAGTTTGCAATTAAGAATTTTCACTGTTGTTTGTCAAACTTAAGTTAGTATCTCACAAATACCCATTTAGGTTACAGGTATTTCATATTAAAAACATGAGAAAATTCTAATACGAAAAACTAAAATTTGAAATTCTGGAAGAGACCAGAATTTCCCTCATATTTTATATATATATATATATAGCATGAGTTTTTGCCTCCTCCTTGACTCAAAGAGTAAATGGTCCATAATCAACCCATATTATACACATAATCCAGTCCTAGGAATTTACAGTGGGCAAGCAACACAATCACCTTCACACTAAGTCACCTATACTTGTAAAATCTTTTAAAGGAAGAATGTAACTTTTGTTTTTTAAAATATTTTACTTTAGGTCATATATATATATACACCCCTCACTGTTCTCACTCAACATCAGGTCATTAAATTAAATCACTGTACTGAGGTGAAGTTCTAACAGGACTGATGCAATCAGAGATCTCTCTTTACTCATGTGATCTCCTCACTTACCTGTGGCAGAAGCAAAAGACTCAGGCCAGTGCAGGCCATTTGAGGAGGCCCCAAGTGGGCCCCCAAGGCAAAAGAGGAATGAAAAAGGCTATTTGAAGTGGATCCTACTATAAAGCTTGGGGAAAACAGTTAATAAAATAAGTTTATTGTCCAGCCAAGCTCACCAATGGAAGAAGCTTTTTAGGTATCCTTTTCTTGGGACCTATTAAGTGAAATAGCCGACTAAATGCAGAAGAGATCTAGCAGAAAACTTGAAACCTAATTTCAGTCTTGAAGTGATACATGAAATACTGGTACATATAATAAGCCTACGTCCTAAGGGACATCTGATGCCTCATTTTGAATACATAATTTATCACAATAAAAAGTAATTGGAAAGTACTCATTTCTTTTTTTTTTTTTCCATTTATTTTTATTAGTTGGAGGCTAATTACTTTACATCATTGCAGTGGTTTCTGTCATACATTGAAATGAATTAGCCATGGATTTACATGTATTCCCCANTTTATTTCAAACCCATTCAGATTTTGAACAAGGCCAAGTTCTGGAAGTAAATTCTTGAGGAAGATACTTGTTGCCAAATACAGATTGATTATTGATCTTTAGGTTTGACCAATCAGCAGATGGTGGGAAAACTGCCAGCCCCACAGCATTCTAAGCAACTTGCAGAAAATTTGCAGAGGACCAAGAAAAACTGCATCTTTTATTGAGGACAACTCCTTTAGACTAGACTTCTGGAAAATCACTTTTCATTCCTCCAGCTCAATGCACTGAACAGTGAGAAAAGCTTCCAGAGTCTATTATACAGTGTCAGCAAATCCCTCTTTTCACAGAACAAGCAGATATGCTGTTCCCATATGGCACTCATACATGACGGAAACTCCACAACATCCCAGAGGCATCTTGTGCCTCCCTCCTGGGGATAAGTCATGCCTTACTCATAGTCTTCCAATTCTGCCTGGAAATTTTTCCCTCTTACACTTAATAACCCATTCATCGACCTTCATTACAACTCAACACGTAAATTTACCTGTGCAGCAAACTGCCTTGCTTCCTCTAGAGGAGCATCAGAAGGGAACTGATTTGTAAAGGAAGAACCATCTGGAAGACGGAACTGAATTCTCGCAACAGTGCTGTAAGAAAGTGAAAATTAAAAGTCAGCATCTTTACCTCTACAAATTCTCAAACTGTATCATTAAAACTAGGAGAAAATGGAAGTGAAACTGTGTAATGAAAACAGGAATTTAGGGAGAGTGAGGGAGGGGGAATTGGAGGAAGGTGGTCAAAAGGTACACACTTCCAGTTTAAGGCAAATAAGTACTGGGGATGTAATGTACAGCAGGGTGACTACAGCTAACACTGCTGTGTGCTATGGAAAGCTGCTCAGAGTAAATCCTAAGACCTCTCCCCACAAGGAAAGGCTTTTTTTTCTTTTTATTGTATCTCCCTGTGGCCCTTGAACAACAGGGGTCTGAAATGCATGGGTCCTCATATAGGTGAAATTTTTTTTCAATAAATACATACTACAGTACTGCACTATCCATGGCTGATTCAATCCACAGATGCAGAACCACAGATATGGAGGGCCAACTGTAAAGTCATGGAATTCTGACTAGGCAAGGGTGGCACAACCTTGGATGCAACCCCAACTCTTGCATCATTCAAGGGCCAAATGCATATGAGAAGATGGATGTTAGCTGAACATGTTGTGTCAGTCCCTTCAAAATATATGTAAATCAAACCATCATGCTGTATTCCTTAAACTTATTCAGTAATTATGTCAAATATTTCTCCAGTTAGAAAAAAAATTTTTTTCACAGTACAATCTCATTATTTTTAGCAACAGCTATTTTGAAATATAATTCACATAAAATCCATCCTTTTAAAATATACAATTCAGTAGTTCTTGATATAGTCAGAGCTGTGCAAGCATCACTAATTCCAGAACATCCTTATCACTCCAGAAAGAATGGAAGTCCCATCGGCAGTGAGTCCCACTCCTCCCTCTCCCTGCCCCGGCACCCTACTCATCCGCTCTGCCCTTGTGGATTTGTCTGTTTCTGGCGTTTCACATCATGGAATCACAAGGTGGGTGGCTTCTGGCTTTGGTCACACAGTATGCCGTTTTCAGGTTCGTATATGTTGTACCATGTGTCAGTACTTTGTTCCTTTTTTTTTTTTTTTTGTGAATAATAGTCCACTGTATGGGATACAGCATGTTTATCCATTCTTCAGTTGACGGAATTTTGGTTATTAGCACGTTTTGGCTATTATGAAGAATGCTGCTATGAATACTCATGTACAGGTTTTTGTGTGGACACTGTTTTCAACTCTCTTGGATGTATACTTAAGAGTAGAACTGCTTAGCATTTTGAGAAACTGCCAGGTTGTTTTTCCAAAGTGGTTGTACCATTTTATAATCCCATTAGCAATGCAGGAAGCTTCCAAAATCTCCACATTCTTGCCAAGACTTAGAGGTCACTTTAAATTGAGGCATCCTAGAAGGTGTGGTTTTGATTTGATTTTCCTAATGACTAATAATGTGGAGCATCTTTTCATGTGCTTATTGACTATTTGTATATCTTCCCTGGAAAAACATCTATTTAAATCCTTTCTCCATATTCAAATTGGGTTGTTTGCTTTTTCTTGTTGACTTCAAGTCTTCTTTTTATATTCCAGTTACCAGTCCCTTATCAAATATATGGCTTAAATATAAATATCTGGCTTAAATATCTTCACCAATTCTTTTAATTTTTGATTGTACCACGTGGCATGTGGGATCTCAGTTCCCTGACCAGGGATTGAACCCATTCCCCCTGCAGTGGAAGCACAGAGTTGTAACCACTGGAACACCAGGGAAGTCCCTCCAATTTTGTGGGTTTCTTTGCCCTTTCTTGATATGAGGTGCAAAAGTTTTTAATTTCGGTAAAGTCCAACTCATCTGTTGGTTTCTTTTGTCACTTGTGCTTTTGCTGTCATGTCTAAGAGGACTGCCTAATCCAAAATCACAAGAAGTCCTTATTTCCCGCCTCCAACAAGAGTTTATACTAACTTTCACTTAGGTAGATGATCCATATGGTGTGTGAGATAATGGTCCGAGTTCATTATTTTACACATGGATATCCACTTGCCCAAGAAGCATTTGTTGAAGAGACCATTCTCTCTCCCATTAAATGGTCTTGGTATCCTTTTCAAAAAATCAACTGATCATAAAAATATAGGTTTATTTATAGAGACTCAAATTCCTCTTACAGGCATACCTCAGAGAGATTGACTCCACACCACCACAATTAAGTTATCATTATAAAGGAAGTCACATGGAATTTTTGGTTTCCCAGTGCACATAAAAGCTATATTTATACTATACTGTAGTCTAGTAAGTGTGCAATAGCGTCTAGAAAAACCATGTACATACCTTCATAAAAATATTTTACTGCAAAAAATGTGATCAACTGACAACACAAGTTTGCCACACAACTTACAATTTGTAAAAAACTGCAATAAAGCATTAGCATAATAAACCAGGTATGCCTGTACATCAATCCGTATGTCCATTCTTATGCCAACACCACAACATCTTGGTTGATGTACCTTTGTAGTTAAGATTTAAAATCAGGAAGTCTGAGAACTTTGTTCTTTTTCCAGACTGCTCTGGGTGCCTTGAATTTCCATATAAATTTTAGAATCCGATTCCTGCAAAAATCTTGGCCAAAAAACCAACTGGGATTTTGATAGGGATTGTGCTGAATGTGTAAATCAGCTTGGGGGTAATTGCCACCTTAACAATATAAAGTCTTCTGATCTATGAAAACAAAATATCTTTCCATGTATTTAGTTAGGTCTTCTTTATTTCAATGTTTTCTAGTTCTCAGTGTATAAGTTTTACACTTCTGTTAAATATATTCTTAGGTATTTGATTTGTTTTGGGAAATAGTTCTTAAAAGGTATTTTTCTGGGCTTCCCTGGTGGTCTAGTGGTTAAGAATCTGCCTGCCAATGCAGGGAACATGGGTTTGATTCCTGGTCCAGGAGGCCCCCACATGCCTTGGGGCACCTAAGCCCAAGTGCTACAACTACTGAAGCCTGTGCTCTGGAGCCCCTACTCTGCCACGAGAAGCCACTGCAATGAGAAGCCCACTCACCACAACCAGAGAGTAGCCTCTGCTCACTACAACTAGAGAAAGCCCACGTGCAGCAATTAAGATCCATCACAGCCAAAAATAAATAACTGAATCAACAAACATTTTTAATTTTTCTGATTACAAAAGTAATGCTTGTTAATTTTCTAATATGGAAAATACAGAAAAGTACAGAGAAGAAAGTATTAATAGTAATCCCACTGGCAGTATGTACTAGAAATCTGAATTTCTGTCTTTGCAACAAACTTTTATTTGGGGAACAGCCTTATCCCTCCAATATGTCACTCATTCTGGTATGATTATCAGTAATATTTCTCGTATCTCCTTCACCACAGGAGTGGACACGTTTACTACCCCCATCAGCTAGCCCAGACAAGTGACAAAGTGATGGTACTTAGATGGCCATGTGACCCAAGCAGGGCCAGTCAGAATTCTCAGTGAATGAGAATTCACTTCTTTCCTCTCTAGGATCAGAAGCTCAAGATCAAGAAGGTGCCAGGAGGCCCTAGGCTCTTCTGACAATATCTAAAGAGTTTCTCTGAGAATAAAGCTAAAACAGAAACCAAGAGATTAAAGAGAGACAGAAAAGGTCTAATGATACCTTTTAGGTTCCTGGATCTAGTGACGCCTAACCAAATCTACCACTGTAACTCCCAGGTGCAGAGCCAGGGGATTCCCTCTTCTGCTTAATCCTATTTGACTTGATATTCTGACAAGTGAAGAATTCAAGTACTCATGTCGCTGTTGTTCAATCTCTAAGTCATGTCTGACTCTTTGCGACCCCACTGATTGCAGCACACCAGGCTTCCCTGTCCTTCACTGTCTCCCAGAGTTTGCTCAGACTCATGTCCATTGAGTTGGTGATGCTATCCAACCATCTCATATCCTCTGTGAGATCATCACTATAATCATTTTGATGAACATGCTTTCTGTCTTTTGAAAGAGATTTCAGCTTTCTTGAAAACGTCATGTATCTAGTACTGTAAGGCTGTACATTCACATTCAATGACAAATACCATTGGCAGCTGCCAACTGATTAATATATTCTTCTGGAACTGTTTATTAAGCCACAGAATAAATCGGTGTCAAAGAGAAGCCCGTAACTGCTTTTCTCCTCAGCTGCCACATACATACACACACTTTGGCAAGAAATAAAGTACCTTCTCTCTTTTGCGGAAGTGTCTCTCCTGACTTCCATCTCTGCCTGTTTGGCCAGCAGGGCGGCAGCTTTAGCAGCTTCTACCTCTTCCTTCGTCTTTGCAAACCGAGCAGCTCTCTCTGCACGGTCCTTGAAAACAGTTGTTAAATATTAATTATGTTTCACTGCCAGAAAGATCTAGTTACACATTTCCAACATATGGAACACAGATATGCATGAATTCCTTAAGACCATACATGAACTTCACTACACTAGATCTGGCATTTTTTAGTTTTATCAGCTGTCAGGGACCACAGTTATTGTTAAACAAACAAGGACTTGATTTTGGTCACTATCTCTCAAGCCTGGAACAAGGTCAGTAGATAATAAATATTTACTGAATGAATACATGAATAAACAATATTAAGAAAAGAGGTTTTCATATGTATTACAACTGTTTAATTCTAAAACCAACTGATGCAAAACCATCCTAAGCTTCATGTGCCTAAATCCTTTGAATGTCCTAAAAAAGAATGCTTATGACTAGAGGAGACTGTGAGGGAGCAAATTCTTGGCTTCTTTCCTGGGGAATCTTGAAAACTGTCTTTGACTACTGATAAAATTCTAACATAACATGGAGAAAAATGACTTCAAAAGATTATCTCAGTTTTAATCTTAACTGTATTTTAATTAAAGAGACAATTTCTAATAAAGGAAAACTGAGAATCGGTACTCTCTGAGTCACTAGAATCTACTATTTTTGTGCACCCTATCCGGTAGTAAACCAAAACCACTGCGCCTGGACAAACAATTTCACCAGTGTTCTAGAGCCAAGCATTAAAAAGAAACAGTACTCACCAGAGCAATCTGCTGTTTTATACGCTCTCGAGCTGCCCTATCTTCTGCCTTTTCTCTATTTCTTTCCTCTAACATTCTTTTTGTTAATTCTTCTTCTTGCTTTCTTTTATAATCCAACATTTCTTTTCCAGTTTTCCTCCTCTCAATTTCCTTCTTAATCTCCCTCTGAATCAAAGAAAAAGTAAGTTTTATGAACCAGAAACAAGTTAATAATCCTCTGCCAATACCATCTTGTACACAGGCAAAGTTGGTTGTAGGGTACAGCTAAAGGAACAGAACCACTTCACAAGATGTAGGGGTCTAGTTGAATGTATTAACAGCATGGGTCAATGGTCAAATCCTATCAATTTATAAGTCTTTGCCAGTGGTTTTGTAAAGATTATCATGTGGTCAATGTAATTTGGGAAAAAAAAGAAAAAAAGAAACAGAATTACAGGTTGTCCCTCCAAGGACAACAAAGCAGTCATTTATTTGGCCTGAAGACATAACCTTCGTATATTAGAAGCCCAAAGAGATGATGAAGTTTAGGTGCGCAGAGTAAGAAAAATGAATGGTGAACTAGAATACAACACCACCAGAAGAAATATTCAGCAAAATGTCTACCCACTTCTTTTTCACAAAAAGGAACTAAAAGTTTGTATCTGCATCAAACCAATTTTAATTCAAGTCCCTTTATTCTTAGTGTAAAAGATTCATTGCAGAGGGAGAAAGGATGGTCTAATTTATTCCTAGCAATTCCCAAAAATCACAAAAAAGTGTACACTGTGACTTTATGACAGGAGACTGGTAATGCCCCTCACTGTGCAGCAATGCTGAACTACAGGACCAGGAAGTCATCCCATGCGCCAAGCTAAACAAGAAATCAGACATTCCCTTATGGAAAGGAAGAGGAAAAAATGAAGGCACACCAATTTACCTGTTCTTCCTCTTTCCTTTTCTCTTCTCTCCTTTCTTCAAGTTTTTTGGTTAGTCTGTATTTTGAAAGTTTAAAAAATACATTAACTGAGAAAGTTTAAAAAAATGCATTAACTGAGATATATTATATTGAAATAAATTACATTTAGAAGATTTCTTTAGCTAAAAACTGGGGAAATATGGAGACAAACAAAAAAAGCTCCTAAAGGCTAAACAACAACTTCTCTACCTAGCCCCTGGCCCTGAAAAAACCCACGAGAGTCAGGGGGAGCCATAAGAAGCCTCCCTCCAGCTCTAAGGGCTTATCTCCTACTTACCACTAGTTCCCTTTCCTCACCTGATTTATCCAATACTGATTTTTTTTGGCTATACCATGTGGCTTTTGGGGTCTTAGTTCCCCAATTAGGGATCAAACCTGAGGCCCTGGCAGAAAAGGCACAGAGTCCAATCCACTGGCCTACCAGGGAGTTCATCAGATATTGATTTTTAAATGTCTTAAAATAATAATAATATATATATATATAAATCAATGACTTAAAAATGCTTTACCTCTTACACAGAAGAGGACTATAGCACAGAATTGATAAAAGCTAAAAGCTGAAGGCTAACATTTATAAAGACCAGTAATACCAAAATTGATTTTGAACTATGAGAAATTCATCAATTAAAAACTAATGATTCTGAAAGCAGACAGTGGTAATGGTTCCACAACTTTGTGAATATATAAAAACCCACCCAATCTGCATACATTTTGCATTTTATGGTATGTGAATTTTATCTCAATTTTTTAAAACTAATGGCACTTTTTCTCAGAGGGGTTTGGGTTGCACAGGCATATGCATTTGTTAAAACTCAGCTGAAGAACTCAGCTAGAAATCTAAGGGATGTTCAAAGATGATGGTTTAGAACCCCAAAGAGATGATGAGGTTTAGGTGCACATGGCGAGAAAAATGAATGGTGCACTAGAATGCAGCAACACCAAAGGAAAAATTCAGCAAATGTCCATAGGTTTCTTCTTCATTAAAAGGATGTCAGAAGGACTTAAGACCCAACATGAAGGGGTTCTGCTATAAATCTGGAGTATTCTGTGCACTAAAAAAAGTTATGAGAGAAATTAACTGAAACACATTAGAGGGGAAAAAAAGGACCCATGAAACATCTTACTGCTGAGGGAAATTATAAACTTGTATAACCACTTTGGGCACTGTTCAGCCAGCATCTACAACCCAGAAATTCCCACTTCTGAAAACATACCCAAAAGATACGTTCACCGAGACATGTAATAAAAGAATGTTCATAGCAATCCTATTCATAACCAACTCAAACTGAAAATAATCCATCATCAGTAGAACAGCTAAATAAATCATGGTATAATCAATACACAGTCACTACAGCTATACAGTAATGAGCAACAATTTGAAGTGCTTATATGATTTAATTATATGATCATGCTCAAATTTTTGAAACAGTCAAGCAGCTAATAGTTACTTCCCAATGAAAACTTTAATTATTAAGATCTTTTCAACATTTTATCTAATTTCAACATTAGAATTCCTTTTGAAAAGTTTTTAAAAAATTGGGTGTATGTATCTTCTAAGAGCACTTTAAAGATTTTTTTCCAGTTAAAGAATCTCAAACAACTCTAGAACCACTCTATCCTGATAAGCTAACTATAAAAGTAATAATGTTCAATGAAGAAAATTTGGCAACCTGAGAACAAAACAAAGAAACCTCTAATTCTAGTTTCACAGATACCAGTATAAACATTTTGTGCATGGCTTCAAATATCTTCTGGGGCTCATTATCCTATATAACACATATACACCAGGATGTGTACATATTGTTATTTTTTAATTAAAAATGGCTTATTATATTCTATTTGCAGAACCATACAGGCAGACACTAGTAGACACCCCTTTATGTAAGAGTGGAAACTATTTGGGGGAATTCCCTAGGAGTCCACTGGTTAGTACTCTTAGCTCTCACTGCCAAGAGCCTGAGTTCAACCCCTAGTAGGGGAAAACTAAGATCCCACAACTCATTTGGTGCAGCCAAAAAAAAAAAAAACCCAAACCAGAAACTATTAAATAACAGAAGCTCCCCTTTCCCACAGCAATTAAATAGCACTTGATCCCACCTCACAATAAAGGGCTACCTGCCATGTTTCTTCACATTCCCTCCAATTCTCGAAATCCTTTCCTGAGTTTTCATTCTCACTTCACTCTAGGATCCCAGGGTGATACAAGTAAGGGTGCATGCTGAGGGATGTGGTGTTAGCAAAGTAGAATGAAACAGAAAAGGAAGAGCCTCTAAAACTCGTTCCCTACTGCTCTTCTTCCAGACACACACCATTTCTCTCCACCGTGAGAGTTCTATCCTGCTGTGCACCACCAGATCCTGGCCCTGCCACACTCATAAAGAACAATCAGAATGGAGGTAGGTTTTGCTAAAATGAAACTCATTTATACTGAACCATGCATGAACTAACCCCAAAACCCAATGACAGCAATCATTATGAATCTCAGTTCCCCATGATATCTATGTGAACAAGAAAATATCAAGTCTAAGTAGTTTTTCTTAACTTCCATATAACACTGAGTGACTTTTAAGTCAAGATTTTAAAATATTCCTGCTTACCCATTCACCATTAACTCAAGTACCTTTTAAGAATCATACTATGAGATTATGATTTGATAACTATTGTAACATTAGAAAGTACTAAACTAGCAGCCACAAAAAGGCAGAAATTTGATTATTAGACTAACAGCACGTGATACTTAATAGACAGCCACATGGATGTGCATAGTCATAAAACTGGCTGCCCATCTGGAACTTATCCCGTGACACAGAGAGATAAAAGCAGAAGTGATAGATGGAAACACATATACCAAAATACTAATGAAAGAGGGACTGTTAAAATTATCAGACCTAAAGCTGACCAATGACTTCAGAGATATACACGAGTTCTTACTTCTAGAATATAATTTCTATGTATACAAATAAGTGGTCAGGAAGTAAAAAATTTCAACCTAGAATTTTAAAATTTTTTATAATTTTAGCCCAAATTCAAATTAATGAAGTAACTGAAAACCACAGTCTATTAATAACAAAACACTGTGTCTAAAAATAAGAGCAAACCTTTCCACTCTGACGGTGAGGTCTTCAGTAGGTCTCTGATTTGAACATCCACTAGGCTCTTGAGACACAGTGGTCTGGCCTGAACTTTCTCCTCCTTAAATAATAAAAGAAAAACAAAAGAAGAATGCCAATTTTTAAAAAGATATATATCTTTGGGGTTACAACATCTGTTAACAATCTTGTTTCTTAAACACATTTTCCCTAGGGATGGAGTAGGAGATAAGAAATGAACTATTACTAACTCTGAAAGTTTGAACCTGGAATAACAGTATATAAGTGGGAAATAAGGCAGTTACTCAGCTGAAAGCCACCAAAATAAAACATGCAGAAATATTAATCTGGCAGGAGGGGATATAACAAAAACAGAATAAGCATGCCCTAGCCAGGGGCAGGCTCTGCTTTAAAGCAGCAGGGTGCAGTACCTTTGGTATCCATTAGGGCAGCCACTAGTCAGTCATGTGTGGCTACTAAGCACTTGTAATAAACTAGTGCAGGTGAGAGACTTTTTCAACTGTATTTAATTTTAATTAAAAATGCCAAATGTGGCTGTGGTTATGGTATTCAAGAGTTCTAGGGAATTTCCTGGTGGTTCAGTGGTTAGGACTCTGCAGTCTCACTGCAGGGGGAACAGGTTAGATTCCTGGTTACACAAGCCTCATGGGGGCGAAAAAAAAAAAAAGGTGCGAAGCTCTAGAGGCAAAGTATGATACTGGGTATTACTAAACTTATGATGACCCATGGGATCTGCTTCTGCAGACCACAATGATTTCTTAGAGAAGTTTTTCATACCTACACTAATATTCTTTCTTTATTTTTTTTTAACTAATATTCTTTAAAGGATTCCTGAAGGACAGAATTTTGTCCTGGCCTACAGTAGAGGACAGCTTGGTCTGAGAGTCCCTTTCAAAACCTCTGCTATTTCCTTCCTTATCACTCACTATCAACTTAATTATTCCTCATATGTTTGATCTTTGAAACAGTATGGACTGCAGAGCAACAAAGTCTGGGTTAAATCTTGTTCTGTCACTTCAGTAAGTTCTTCAATCTCACTATACCTTATCTACAAACTGGAGGTATTAACTGCATAGACTTGTTAGGAGAAATACATGTTACAGAAGCACAACACTGAAACTTGTGCGAGGACTAGCACGAAGTAAGTGGTTCAGTTATTGCAGCAGTAACAGAAATATTAGAATTACTAAGTAGAATCAATGGTATGCATGTACTCCTACCCCGACACTCAGTGTTATCACCTACATAACTTGAAATCAGCTACAGAAGGATTATTTACACTTTGGAAATTAGTAAATGCTACAAATGAGGGCTTTTCTCCCCCGCTACAAAAAACTTCTGTTAAATATTTACTGGCATATCATGAATGCAACCCTTGAGTAAGAAGTGTGTATGATCCTTAAAATACTGTATAGAATTTCTCTCTGCCTTTTCTATCAACCCCACTGCAGTCACAACTCTTATTGCTACAAGCTCTATTTTACAATTAACTCTAGCAGCCAGTGTGTATTCAATAGGAAATTAATGCTTTCTTTAGTAAGTAAAATGAATGTCAAGATCATTTATATCTTGATATTAGCAAAAAATATTTAAGAAAACTTCTGAAAATAACCTGTGGACAAGCTGAAAAAAAGTGTTGTGTATAACAATTAGTGAGGTGGATAAGAAAAATGGACAGCAATCAGCTAAAACAACTGATAAAAATCCAAACACAGTAAAATTACTAGAGGAGGTTCTATCTTTAGGTTTAAAGACAACTGGATTATCACGCATAACTTATCTCCTGATAAAAATGCACAGCAACACCCGTTAAGTAGTCTTGACAAAAAAGAATAAAGAATAAACTTGACTTCAACAACTAAACAAGCCTGTAGTGTTACTTCCAATTTAGAGGAATTTTTACAAATTATCACAGGGATGTACCAAATCCAGACTGTGGGAAACTACAAAAAAAAAAAAAAAAAAATCCACCACTGATGACAGTGGGAATCTATGAAAAGCATCGACTAATAATGATATATTGGACTCCACCTCAAACTGAAAATTTTAGTGTAAATATAAATATTGCCTAGATAATTAATGATAAAAAAGAATCAATGTTAAACTTTCCAGGATTCATAAGAGATAATCACATTCTATTTACATTTTCTAAAATGCTTTTTAAGATACTTTTTTTTTTTTGCCACGCTGCTCAGCTTATGGGATTTCAGTTCCCTGCACCCTTGGCAGTGAGAACATGGGGTAGGTCCTAACCACTGGACCATCAGGGAAGTCCCAATATCAACATTTTTAAAGATGAAATGATATAATGCCTACGTGTATCCTAATAATAAGGGTCAAGAAGACATGGAAAGGAAGCACAGATGAAACAATATTGGCCATGAGTTAAAAATAGTTGGAAGATAGGCAATGGGTTCATGATATTTATTATACTATTTTCTCTACTTCTGTTATGTTTAAAATTTTCCATAATGAAGCTAAAAAAAAAAACCTACAAAGAACTAAGATTAGACTTGCTACTCACCTCAGATAAGAGAGTGTAACAGTCTGGGCCTAACCAAGTTATTTACCTACCTACTAAAACAAAGACAAGAAGGCTCTTTGTGAGAATATAACAGAATCCAGAGTGTTATGTGTAACTCTTTAAGTAGTACTAAAGTTAATGGGGAATTATAGAGCATCAAATATGGGGAAGAATTTTGCTAAAACCTAAGGGCTTCAACAACAGAACAAGATTCCTAGCAAGGAAATGAGCTTCCTCTCATTAAATATATTCAAATACAAGCTTGATGATTATTTATCCAGGAGCTGGAGCAGAATCATCAATTATAAGATACTAATCTAGTTTCTTGGACTTCCCTGGTGGTCCAGTGGTTAAGAACCCACATGCCAATGCAGGAGACACAGGTTCGACCCCTGCTGCGGGAAGATTCCACATGCCTTGGAGCAACTAGGAACTGTGCACCCGTGCTCCAGAGCCCATGCGCTGCAACTGCTGAGTCCACATGCCCTAGAGCCCGCGCTCTGCAGAGAGAAGCCACTGCAGTAAGAAGCCTTGCACTGCAACCAAAGAGAAGCCCCGGCTCACCACAGCCAGAGAAAGCCCGTGAGCGGCAATGAAGACCCAATGCAGCCAAAAATAAACAGAATAAAAAAGTAATATTCTGGCTTTGTATCTAACCGTACATTGCCTGATACAAAGCTCTATTATACAAAACAACTCTGATTGTACATGATCCTTAAAATACTGTATAGAATTTCTCTTTGCCTTTTCTATCAACCCCTCTGCAGTCACAACTCTTATTGCTACAAGCTCTATTTTACAATTAACTTTTAATTCTAATTTTAAAAGTGCAAATACAATTCTCTTAAATATGTACAATACTCTATAGGCTAATGAAAATAATTCCGAATACATCAGTTTCATTTGGACCTTTCAAAATCCTCTGGCTGAGAAGAGATTTTACAAAACTGATGAGAGTCATGATGACAGTCCCTGGACCATAGCACAGCAGCAGAAATGACTACTATCAGCTGTTTTGGACTGTTACCTATTTGGGTCTGAAGGACACAGTCACTGACTTTTTCTCCTTCTGCCACTAAATGACAAACATTATGTATCTAAAACTGTCTGTAAATTTTAAATTAAGGGAATGTGAAGGGGAAAAATACAGTATTTTTATTTTTAAAAACATTAATCCACAGCCTTCAAAGTGAAGTAGGATGTTTAGTATACCCAAAAGGGTACACTAAAAATTACCTGTTGCAGAATCTGACTTTGTATCAGAAGAGGATGGCGTCTCACAGAGCTCTACACTTCTGGACTGACAGTTTTCAGAAGTATTGTTATGTTCAAATGAGGCAGATGGAGTAGAGACTGAACCTTCTGATTGGTTGCCATTGGCCAATGATGCTTCACCTTTTAATGAATGCATCTAGGGAGAAAAAAACAGTTTTTAATTACAGATAAGAATCCAAATTTACCATGGTATATGAGACCAAAAATGAGGAAGTCAATCTATCCACACAAGTGAGAAGTACTGAACCTTCCAAGTAAATCAATGTAAAATGTATAGTCCTAAACATGACATAATCACATTATGGAATTCAACAGCAAGGTGATAAGAGCATTAAAAGACTTTTAAAGCACACTGTTGATTTTTCTTAAAATGAGAATTGAAGGAAAAAGGTTACAAGCTGTATTAGCCATATGCCCAAAGTGGATGGAAGTGAGAAATTGAGTAAGATCCGTAAAACGAGTCAAGCAATATACTGTTAAGGACCTTAATGTGAGAGCAATACTCTCTTGCAACAAAGTAATAGTGACTACATTGTGCGGTTGGGCAATGGAGGAAAAGGGAAGGGAGAGTAAGTCACTCATGTATAGGCACCTCTAACTTCATAAAGTGGTTTTGAAAATCAGTCCAGAAAGACAGTATTTACTACCTTTTAAGTTTAATAGCACTGCTAGTTCCTGAATATTTAGAGTGACTCCAAAAATATTCCAATGTCAAGTTCTTGACAGATCATTTTCCAACATTTATACAAAGAACCAATTCTGTTCCTTCTCACCTGCCGGACTTTGTGGATTCTGGTAACAAGTTCATCTGCAGAAATACTTCCTGCTATTACTTCCAAAGGAATTCCACTGTCTCCAATAAAAAAACTGGATGGAACACACACTACAGGATCTGCACAGTGTTATCAAGTCTAACAACTCATGAGAAACAAGGGAATAATTTTATTAAACACTACTGATTTTAAAAAAGCAAAATAATCTTTGTGATTTCACAATAAGCTAACCTGTTTACAAAATAATTTCAACTAGTTTATCACTATTCCTGTAGTACATGTGATACATGAATTATGATTTATTTCTATCGCATCTATATAAGTGGAAAACACTCATTACGTTCCCCTCTATCATGACTTTTATATCTATTTTATTTCTTGCCAGCTACTTCTATTAAATAACATTCCAACTGCATCACATTGCTTTCCAGCTGTAGTAATCACAATTTTAAAAAGCTCCCCAAGGGGACTTCCCTGGCAATCCAGTGGTTAAGACTCTGTACTCTCACTCCAGAGGGCATGGATTCCATCCCTGGGATCCCTGGTTGCGGGATCCCACATGCTGCACTTCACAATCAAAAAAAAAAAAAAAACCCACAACAAACTCCCTATGACCCCATATGATACAGTGCAGTCTTAAAGGACACTTAGTAATATAAAGTTTCCATGAATAAGAATGCATCAATTCCTAAATAAAAACTAATAATTTCTAATTGTCATGCATCAACCAAAAGAAAGGTAAATCCTCAAGCAATATTCATATATATACAACTGATTCTTCATGGAAAGGATACAGATCTGTGAAAATTGTAGGCAGGCTTCACTGTAAAACAAAATCAAACAAAAAATCACTAGATGAATGTAAGTATTTCCCAAATACTGAGTTGTTTTTATAAAAATGTACTGTACCAATTACAAGTATTTTCCTGAAACTACAAGTTCCTTTCATAGCTATCAAATGAAAGGGGAAAAATGTATTCCTTATCTCACAGACCATTTTGGGTTTATAATTTTCAAAACAGAGAGACACTTGCTCTTGCAAACCACAAACGAGTGGTCAGATGTGGTACCTAAAGATCACCTTAGTATCTGCCATGTTGCTTCCTCAGAAGCATGTGTTTCTGAATACAATATTGTAGCTTGTAATAAGAAGATATCGATACTTATGAATTACTTGTGCAAGTGATAATGCAATACTTTGTAATATGAAAGGACTCAAAACAACCTAAATATCCACCAGTTAAAAACTGATGAATCATGCAATTATAAAGAGGGGGAAAAAAAGTATGTCAAACTACTATCATTTTTGTAAAAAACAGGGAGAGGAAAACAATGGTATTCTCTTGATTTGGTTTACTCCAAAGAGAACTGAGTGGTTAGGGACAGGGATGGGAGAGAGAGACTTTATAACATGAATAAAAGACACTGATAAATGTAGGTGAGTAATTCCAAGAACCAAATTAATGCTTCAAAGAACCAGAAATTTGCTTTGTCTTTTTCCAAATCTGAGACATGATTATAATAAAAACATCTGAAAATGTAAAAGAAAACTATCAAGAAAAATATTATCAAGAATCCTACTTTCTCAGCTATAATCACTGTAAACTTTTGATGCATTTTCTAACAATCTATTTTCATTGCAAGATACCTCCATAAATAAAAATATACTAACATGTTCCTAGAATGTTAGCTTTATTATCTAATAAATTAAATTTACCTTTCATAATTTAAAAGACATACTAGATCCCATCTGGCTGTCCATAATGAAACAACCATCAACCAACACTATACACAAGTACTCCTGCATCTGCTAATAGAAATTTGTTTTTAAAAATGCTAGATATATCAGTGTGTACATAAATCACAACAATTCTGAAATTCTCATTTCTCCCACATTCCCAACAAAACCCTACATCCCTCCTGCCATTACTGACTCTAAAAGGTGCTTCTGGAAGAGAATGGACAATATCAACGATATCATAGACTATTTAAAAGAAAAAAAAAAAGACGATTATAGCTCAATAAATGTATAGTTCAGTAACTACTGTGAAGCAGACTGTACTATGATTTGCTTCATGTTTTATTGATGAAGAAAAAATGTTTAATAAGTTTACAAACTTACAGGTAAATTTCTATTTTAATGTTGACAGTAATTTTCATTTTGATATTATCAATACCAGAAGAACAGAAATACCACTTTAAAATTGCTAGTGTTTCCAGGCATTCATCATTGATGGCTGTGGCTAACATCATAAAGACAAACAACAGAGCATTATGTACCCTGTCGTAGAAGAATGGAAGACACACCACCATCTAAGTAGTAGTATTAAGTGGGGAAAAAAAAAACCTGAATCCAACTGTCAATTTACCGAAAATGGAGGATAGAGTGACAAACTAAATGACACTGACAGGACTCCAACGAACAAAACCTATACTGCAGGAAGCTATGCAACAAATTACTGCATTCTCAGAAAACAGCCTTCAAAGAAAAAGACAAAGAGGGAGATCCAGAGAAGCAGCCTCCAGAGAAGAGACCTGACAGAGATCAACACATCACAATGTGTAGATCTTTAAGGATCCTGAACCAAACAAACTGTAATAAATTAAATTAATAATAAAACCTGACTGATTTAACAACTGAAAATGTAAACACTTGGTAGATATTTGATATTAAGAAATTAAGATTAATTTTTGAAGTATTATGTTAAAAAATTAAGAATTCTTCTCTTTCAGAGACATACCAAAATACTGATAGATGAAATGACATGATGACTTGAGGTTTATTTCAAAATTATATGGGGTGAGTTGAAATGGATGGGGTTAAAATGGGTGGGGGAAAAGATGAAACAAGACTAACAAGAGGTGATAGCTGTTAAAGTAGGTGACAAGGTGGGGGGGGGGCAGGGTTCATTACACTACTCAGACACTTTTGTGTATGCTTGAAATTTTCCATCACACACACACAAATTTTAATGGGGGAAGATGGATTCATTTGTGTTTCACACAAATGAAACAGATTTGTGGTTATCAGGTACTATGATGTGCCTATAAATGCTCTTATTTTTACTGAATTAAATGACTCCATTTTCAAAAACAGGATCCAAAAGAGTGGTTATAACCTTTCAGAGATATTTAATATATTGTTTACAATTACTTCCAAGTTTTTAGAATCTGAGGATCACAGTTCCTTTGCATTACTGGTGTATGTCACATAGCTGCTTGGTAGACCAAGAATTTATCAGGTTTTCAATAAGATATAAGGAGAAATTTGAAAAATGGCAATCAGACTATAAGCCCTCAACATCTTAGACAAAAATCAACATTTTTATAGTACAAAAGTATAAAACATAAATCACCAGAGACAATGGTTAAAATTTTTTTTAAATTGCAAGAGTAAAACATAAGCAAACCTTTTGGTATCGATTTTAATAGCAACAAAACTGTTTGAAGATGCTTCTGTCACTTTCTCATCTTCCCAACTTGCAGCCATTTGTGTAGACTGCTCATCATCACCTGTAAAACATTTCAAGCATTCTTATAGCATAAGGCCTGTATCTGCTGATTCTTTTCCCTGTAAATCTGGAACTTCAAATAAAATGTAAACCCACAAATACTATTTTTTTACCAAATTTGAAAACTGACTTTTTCCATAAATGAAGTGACTGTTAACATTAATAAAAAGTAATGAAAAAGAAAATATTGGTATTTAGGTTATACAAAGTGTTTCTAAATGAAGACATCCAAATTATGATGCAAATATTATCACAATAATTAGAAGTCATGGGCAGAAATGTGTCTATTTTGCCTTTTGTACATATGATTTTAGAAAACAAAGGTACAATATTTTTCCTTTATGTAATATCTTTCTGTTGAGTTTAATGTCCTCCACACACACACCACTTATTCACCAGAATCCCTCCAAGGTAGACAAGCCAGGTGTGATTCTGTTTGCAGTTTTGCACCTGCCTTTTGTTAAGAGGTATGCCAGTTATAAAAGGTATGCTGATCCAAAACTAATCTATGGTGATAGAATTGAGCATGCATGCATGCTACCTTGGTGGAGGTACTACTGATTGGGAAAGAGGATGAAGGAGCCTCCAGGATCTTGGAAATGTTTTATATATGTATTTATATATTTTATTAACAATGCTGTGTTAGTTTCAGGTGTATAGCAAAGTTTTTCAATTATATATATACCTGTATCTATTCTTTTTCAAATTCTTTTCCCATTTAGGTTATTACTGAAAACTGAGCAGAGTTCCCTGTGCTATACAGTAGGTTCTTATTGGTTATCTATTTTAAATACAGTACTGTGTATACATGTCAATCCCAATCTATCCCTTCCCACCCTTCTCTCCCGGTTACCATAAATTCATTTTCTGTTTATTTCTATTTTGAAGTAAATTCATTTGTATCATTTTTTTTAGATTCTGCATAAGCGATGTCATATGATAGGAAATGTTTATCTCTTACACAAGTGTATCATCTGTAAAAATTCATCCAGCTGTTCACTGAATATATTTTACTTAATATACTGTATGCAATACCTCAGTGACAAAATATTTTAAAAATTACACCCATCAAGAGATTATTTCCATTTTAGACCTGTAACATCTAGATTTTGGCATAACCATTTATTGATGGGCAAAGCAAACTTACCAGAGTTAAGTCACTGAAAAATATTTCGAAGGTTAGCAGAGCTGTTTTCAGATCACACTTTTTTGCTTTACAAAAATGAGATCTTTCTATACCTACTCTTTTGTAAGTTGTTTTCTTCCCATGTGCGTTCCCCTCCATCAACTTAATCTACCCTTAGTCTTCTCCATCTCAGTTATCTGGTATTGATAACACCATCCTTTCAGTTCTCAGACCAAAAAGTTTAGTTATTTTTGCCTTCAGCTGATGCTGTCTCCAAAATATATCTGGAGTATAACTTTGTCATAACACTCTCACTGCTACCACCCTGACTTGAGCTATCAAATTCTCACATAATGATTACAGTAGCCTCCTACTGGTCTCCCTGCTCTGTCTGCTCTTAACGCAGCATCTTCCTTTTAAGAAGTCAGAGCAGGGAATTCCCTGGTGGTCCAATAGTTAGGATTCAGCACTTTCACTGCAGAGGCACAGGTTTGAGCCCTGGTTGGGAACTAAGATCCCACAAGCCACAAATCACAGCAAAAATAAAACTACACACGTCAGATATTTCCAAAGCTTCTTCACTTCCCACTTTCTTTTCTGTAATACTTATAATCTTCTAATAGACTATTTGTTTTACTTATTATCATGTTTACTGTTTGCTGTCTGTCTCCTTCCACTAGATGTCATGCTCCATGAGGGCAAGAATTGTTTTCCTTCTCATTTACTGATATAATTCAAACACCTACAACAGAATCTAATATATAGTAAATACTTGGGAGTAGAGCAGGCTCTCAAAAAGTATTTTGTAGGATGAATAACTAAATTTCTGGTATAGAATCTTGGCATGCCTACAAAACCTGACTAATGCTACACGGTTGAAAACATCTTTTGTGAAATGAGATTCAAGAATATTCAGTAATAAGGGGCTTGAGAAATATGGCCATGGAAAAGTAGACAGGGATAGAATGCATGCACAGACCAAGACTAAAAGAATGCCCATTAGCAGACGCCTAGATGTCGAAGCAGCAGACAGGAAAACTATCATTTGCCATGAGATGATTCTGAGCATATCTTCAGACACTATGGGGGTGACGAGAGATGCAAAATTCCAAGTAAATGACAAGATTATCAACCTAGAAAATAGCTACAGAGGAACATCCTTAATACACTTAAAGAAGGCTGTGAGGTGTAGGGGTTATTTTTATTCATTCTTTCTTTCTTACATTCACTATTTTACTTCACATTTATACTCTGCTAGGCACTGTGCTAACTAAATATAAAACAAATGAGATACTATATGCCCTCAGTGGAGTTCAAAATCTAAAAAAAATACTTGTTTGGTAAACTATAATTATGGTAAGAAACGCTTTGAAAAAACAGACCCCTTTAGATTGGTCAGGGAAGCCCTCTGAGGTGATATTTAAGGTAAGACCTAAAGGATGGAAGAGGTAAACCACGCCACAAGCCAGAAAGGTTCACCAAGCAGAAGGAGTTTCTGCGGAGGAAAGGGCTGTATGGTTAGGAGTGCTGCGCACACTAGGAGCCAGGGAACAAGACGAGACTGAAGAGCTGATTCCAAAAACGACGCCCATGCTCGGGTTTATCCAACTGGATATAAGGCGGTGCCACTGACTTAGCAGCAGAATACCACGGGGCGGGGAACAGATTCAAGCAGTGATACTTTCAGGCTTGAGAGTCCTGTGAGGCATCCAAATGGGGATGTCAAGTAGGCAGCTGGAAGGATGGACCTGCCACTCCTGAGGCTGATGTTCTTCACTTCCTCACCTAGGTTTTATGATGCAGATTCTCAAGGGCTCCATCTCCACTAGCAATGTCTGCTCATGATTCAGCGGAGGGCAGCAACAGCTGCCTGACCAACAGAGATGTAAAGATTGAATGGAATTACATAACTAACCTTAGCTCTACTGGGTGAGATTTTTAATTGCCAACTTTGGAATCTTTACTTTCTTATTTTAAATCAAATTATGAACTATGCTGGAGTTAGATGGGCCAAGGATTTCAGGAGAAAACATTACATTCTTGGTGGTATCAGCAGTATCCAAAAGTAAAGCCACTTAAAAGGAGCAGTACAAACTCGGAAGCAGTTGCAGACTCTATAACCAGGAATTTCAACAGAGAAAAACTCAACTGGTCTAAACCCAAATGGCTTTTTAGTCTATTTTAACCAAACCAAACCAAACCAAATGGGGGGAGGGGCATTACATAGTGTTGGTCAAGGAGATTTTAGCCAAATAGAACCATTAGTCGATGACCAGTGTTTGCTTGTCTAGTGACAAGACACCTCTGCTTCAGAATGCTTGTCAAATTATTGTACATTCCCAAGAAAAGAATCAAAACCTGTTTCAGTTTTATTTCTTGCAATTTACACACCTATAATACTTTGAAAATACTTGTTTGACTTAACTCTCCAGTCTCTTAACATTAATCCCACATATTATTTAATACATCCATGAAAATTTCACTAAAATATAAACGATCTGCCTAAAATGTTTCCCACTTGAGTGGCTATATGAACCAAAGTATACATTTATGACCACTCCTTCCAACTAAAAAGCTATCCTTTTAATTTTCCAGTGAGTTGGCACATTACTGTCAAGGTCTCAGATCTAAGAAAATCATGAGTTCTGACTGTACTCTTCAAGAATAAAGGTCTAGGGACTTCGCTGGTGGTCCAGGGGCTAAGACTCCATGCTCCCAATCCAGGGGGCCCAGGTTCGATCCCTGGTCAGGGAACTAGATCCCACATGCCGCAACTAAAGAACCTGCATGCCACAACTAAATAAATACATTTAAAAAAGAATAAAGGCCCAAGAAACCTGCTGTAAGTGTTGCAATTTCATGACTCCACTGTCTACACACTCTACCTAGTCTTGAAGACTAACTTCCTAAATTTAACTCTAGAAAAACTAACAGTATTTGAATGGGTCAAGCGATGTGGAAGCAACTTCTTCCACAGACTGCTAATAGTCCACCTGCAAACATTCAACAGTCACTGATATTCTAAAAACATATGTTACATGATACATGCTCATCAGAAAAACTTGAAAAATTGAAGAAGGTATATATTATATATAGACGCAAAGCCCTAAAGACCTATAACTTTATTTTTCTATTGTAATAATTAGTGCTACTGTTTCGAAATGGGTTTCTAAATGTTTGTTAATTAAACCTAGCATTTCTTCCAAATTAACAGGTTAGTCCAAGAGTGCCTTCAAGGAACCTTTGGACACTGATCAAATGTGCTTTCTGTTTAAAAATATGACTACTGGGGACTTCCCTGGCAGGCCAGTGGTGAAAAGTTCCTCATGTCCTCTTCCAAGGGAGGAGGTGAGGGCTCCACCCCTGGTCACAAAACAGAAAGGTTGTAACAAACTCTATGAAGACTTTAGATTTCCTAATTTCTACACCAATTTCAGTAACTACCTAAGGTCTGTTGTAGAACTACCTAAGGTCTGTCTGTACAATGGTTGTTTTTTTCTCTGGAGAAACAAAAAAGACACTTTTTTGGAAGATGATAAAAAAAAAATCTGTTATTTTTGTGACACCAGTGTACGTCACTTAGCCGCTGTGGACCTGTTTCCTCACCGATAAAATGGGCATGATAAACCCTGTTCTACCTAATGTGTGGGATCAATTGAGAGTATATGTGAAAAACACAACTTAAAATGGTGTTACAACTATTACTGCACTGCATATTCAGTATCATCAGTTTTCCTTTCCCTTTTCTTAGGATTTTATTATCTATCTATGGCAGTAGCTCTCTAGTTGCAATGAATAAGCTTCTCATTGGGTGACTTCTGTAACTGCCCAGCATGGGCTCTAGGCCGGGACCGGCGGGCAGCGGGGAGGGGGGCTTCAGTAGCTTCGGGGAGTGTGCTCAGTAGTTGTGGCCAAGGGCTTAATTGTTCCGTGTCACGTGGGATCTTCCACTATCAAGGACTGAACCTGCGTCTCCTGCACTGGCAGGCAGATTTTCTACCACTGAGCCACCTGGGAAGCCCAAACTTTCCTTTTTAATCCACTTATTTTCTTACAGGTTTACAGCAGTTACTTATTATGTAAAATATAACTCTAAAAAAACAGCATAAAAGAATCTGAACTACTCCAGCTCTTGTAATTAACAGCAATGAGTTAAAATTTTACCATAATTTAAAACAATACAAATTTTCAAATTTAATATGAAGCTCACATTTCAGCAACTTGCTCTTCACTACAGTGCATAAAGCTATAGAGTTATTACCGAGCCTCCCAAGCCATAAGTTAATGATGAACAAACCGTTATTAAACACAAATAGTTGAAATAATGCACTTCAAATTAACGGTAGTCGCAAATACTAATTCGGTTCAGGTAATGAGTATCAGCAAAACTTCACAGTGGCACAAGTTTACTGTAAATCTAGAAGACTGCAATAATAAAATACGGAGCAAAATAACCCAGAGCAACACAGAATAGATGAGTTAGTACACATTCTAAAACTGTATCTGCGATACTAGGAAGACAATAAAAAGAATCAATGCTTGTGTGTCTACTTCTAAACAAACGGTTAAAAAACAATCCACTTGCAACAAATTATTTCATATGAGATTCTCCACTCCTATGGCATTAAAATCCAATTTATATAGACCTCAAAAGTTTACGTTTCAGGAACACACGAAAGCCAGTAACAGTGAACATCAGGTGGTTTCTCTTTGTTGATTACCGATGACACAGCTTTCTTCCTGAAAGTCCACAACTAATTACAAGCAAAACTGCCCGTCTTACGGCCCGTCTCTCTCCTCACCTACACACTAACTATACTGGAGTTAAAGTCTCTCCAAGTGGAGCACTCCGTCGGGGGCTCCAGGAGGCGACGGTGGGGTCTGCGGGTGCCAACTCCGCAGGCGGCGCGGAGTCAGGCTCCACAGCGAGCAGGGCGGCCCTAGGGCCTGCTCGACCCGTCCCCTCGCCCCGCACAGGGGAGAGGGCGGGGTTCAGCGCGTTTGGGGGGCAAGGCCGAGACCGTGCCTCCTGAAGGGGGGCCGGGAAAAGCCAGCGGTGGGGGTCAGGCCAAGTGTACTCCAAACGGACGGGGCAAGCGCTGAGACGCCAGGGACTGGCAGCCGGGCTTCTCGGCGCCCGTAGGAAAGGCTGGGGGCCCCTGGGGTTGGAGGTAGGCCGGAGGGGGTGTCCCTGCTACATCTCGGGCCCTCGCCTCCTTCACCTGCCACGAACACCACGAAGACTGCGCCGCTCCTCTTGGCCGACGCGATGGCGGCCGGAATGGCGCCCTGGAACCACAGCATCGCTGCCCACGGGCCGAGGCGCTCGCTCGGTGTGTTGTCGCCGCGGTCCCGGAGTTGGCCCCGCCCTCTCCGTCGCCTGGCTCCGCGGCCCCGGCAGCCCAAGTCGGTCCGCACCCCACCTCCCGCTCCGCACAGGCGCTCAAGCCCGTCAGCGGCCCACTGGACGCGCGCAGGCGCGCAGGCGAGGCGCACCCCCGCGACACGTGACGCCACACGTCGGCGTCAGCGCCGCGCCCCCGTGCCTTGTCTCGTTGGCAAGTCGGAGCGTGCGCGTGCCCGCGAGGCCTCAGGGCGCTGCAGTCCCGGAAATGGGAGAGGCGTAGGGAAGAATGACTAATCGCTAAATCGCGTCGGTGGCGCCTTCCCGGTGCATAACGGGAATTGTAGTCTTGGCTTGGCCCCTTTAATATTGTATGAAATGTTAATTATGGTTTGCCGGGTACGGCTAAGAGGGCGACCGTGAGAGCCACTTCATAGTCTATAAAGAGGAGAAATGGTGCTACTCATCGGAAGATACCCTCCCTGGCATTTTCGAGACCTTAAATAAGGAGGAAATCATCCTCGCCCCGGATGGAACTCCTGCCTAGTGCGACGATGTAATTCTCTATTATGATTAATGGCTGTTGTGTAATAGGATGGGTGTCTCTCGGTATGAAACTTAATGGGGTTTGTAGGGATTTACTACATCTATTGAACTTAATTTATCAGCTCGACCTTGAAGAAAAGAAATACAACACCTTCCGTAATACCATACAGCCTGTGTACCTGAGGGGAGTTTTTGGTTGAACGCAGACCTTGAGTAAGGTCGTTGGTTAGAGATCATTACAAACGTCAAAACACTTAGCTATGCTGTTGCCACAGCTGCTTTCAAAAGTTAAGTCAGGGCTTCCGGTGGAAGCCTCTGGGGAAGGGGCGGCAGGCGCCATGTTGGGCCCCGAAGGCGGCAAGAAGCCCCTGAAGCAAGCCAAGGAGATGGACAAGGAAGATAAGGCATTCAAGCAGAAGCAGAAGGAGAAGCAGGAGAAACTCGAGGAGCTAAAAGCCAAGGCCGTGGGAAAGGCCCTCTGGCCACCGGTGGAATTAAAATATCTGGCAAAAAGTAAGCTGTTCCTTGTGCCTGAGGCAATGATAACCCTTAGTTCCATTCCTGTTTAAACACCTGGATTCCCTACCATAGTATCTGCTGCCACCTATAGCTAGAATGAAGTGTTATCTTGGAACCTATTGTACATTTAAGAATAAACTTTTGTAAAAAAAAAAAAAGTTAGAAGCAGAGGATAATGATTTCTCTTCCAGCTACTTTTCATGGTAATACAAAAGTGAATAAATACTTTTGTTTACTATGATATATGACAAAGTACTATTATCAAGATATAGCACTTTATGGTTGGTTGCCATTAAAATGAAAACTGAACCAAATTTAATACTTTCATGAAATTACACAGTCTCTAATAGCTATTAGCTAAAGATTTCTGTGGTTTATTTAAAGTTGCATAGGCAAATAAATAAAGTTGCATAGGCTATTATATTGTACACCCTGCATCACTTAATTTCTCCTCCAGCAGCACAGCCATTTGACAATATTTGCAGGATTAAGGAAGGGCTACATCTGAAAATACCCCTTTCCTACAAGTATTTAACCTAAAAGTAGCTAACAGATTGAATTGTGATTTTTATTTGCTTTTTACCAATCAGGCCTCTTATGTAGTGTTCTTATAAACTGAAACATAATGCTGATTACAGACAGTTGCTATTTACAGAGAATATCATTCCTTAGGAAGAATTAGAGTTCATTTCAACATCAACTTTAGTTTCCTTAAAATTTGATCACCATATATACCCTTTCAGCAGAATTATGTCTTTAATTATTTCTACTGTTAGAATTAAATATTAGAAGAATCATTCACAGCCTCTCACTCATTCATCAAATCTTTATTGCACATCTGCTATGAACTAGGCATTATACCTGGCCGTGATAAGGAGATGAGGCAGTCAGACAAAGCTCCTGCCTTTGTGACTGCACAGCCTGAAAAGGAAGACAGGCATTGAGTAAGTGACTGTGATGATGAATACCACAAGAGGGAAATACATTCAGAAATGTAATGATGTGACCAAACATGGATGTGAAAGTCACTCAGTTGTGTCCAACTCTCTGCGGCCCCATGGACTGTATAGTCCGTGGAATTCTCCAGGCCAGAGTACAGGAGTGGATAGCCTTTCCCTTCTCCAGGGTATCTTCCCAACCCAGGATTTGAACCCAGGTCTCCCTCATTGCAGGCAGATTCTTTACCAGCTGAGCCACAAGGGAAGCCCAAACATGGATAGCAAGGTTAGAAAAGGCCTTCCTGAGGAGATGACATGTGAGGAGAAGTCTAGCTCTGTGAAGGAGAAGACTATTCCAGAGAGAGGAAACAGCAGTGTGAAAGCTCTGAAGCAAATGAGAATAGTACCCTTGAAGCACTGAAAAATGTTCAGCCTGACTAGAACATACAAAGAGACATATGGTGTGAATGAGGCTGACAGATAGAAAGGATAACTCATCCAGGGCCTTGGGCATCATGTTAAGGATTGCAGACATTTTCCTAAGAATTGTAGAAAGCTGTTCAAGAATTTTAAACAAGAGGAATTAGATAAAAGATTTGTGTCATCAATATGCAGGTATGCTGCAGTTCAAGTGGATTGCAATGGAAGTGGAATTGGTGAATGTGAAGAAACTGGTTAAGAACCCACTGTCCATGTATAAGGGAGATGGAGAAGTGGATACCTTCGAGATACTCAGAGGTAGACTCAATAGGCTTTAGCTATGGAATTTGAGGAAGGAGGAGTCAAGAAGAGATCTTGGGTTTCTGTCTTGAGAAATCATATAGAAGGTTGTGATTTATAGGAACCATTGAAGGAAGAGCAGGTAGGTGGAGAGGTGGGCGTGAAGATGTGAGTTCAATATTAGACATGTGTTGGGAGTGCTAGTGAGATAGCAAGTCGGGGTGTTAAGCAGGCATGGGATAATTGAGGCTCTGCAGGAGATTCTCACAGAGTACATAAAATGAGGGGAGACAAGAGTTATGACTGAGGTCTTGGGAATTCCCTGGCAGTCCAGTGGTTAGCACTTCACACACTCACTACCAAAGGCCTGGGTTCAATCCCTGGTCAGGGAAGTAAAATCCCACAAGCCACTCGGTACAGCAAGGGGAAAAAAAATAAAGAAACAAAAAACAGATTGAGGGTTGTGTAGAAAAGTATAAACCGGTAACCGAGACTCAGGGTAGGCAGGGGTGTGTGTTGGGGTGGGGTGAGGGAATATGAGAGCTTATGACACCAGAGAAGCCCAGGGTAGAGTGAGTTTTGAGAACGGAGTGAGAAGCCCTTGTATTAAAGGCTGCTGTTGGGTCAAGTTAATTAAGATTTTCAAATGTCCACTGCTTTTAGCAATGTGGAAGTGCTTATCAGCTTAGCAGGAGGTGTTTCGATGGGTTCTTCTTAGTGGAAGTCAGATGGCAATGGGTTGAAGAGTGAGGGGAGCTAGAGAAGGGGTTGTCAGTAAATGTGAAGAGAAGGAAGAAGAAAGGACATTAGCTGGACAGAGATGTGGACTGAGAAAGACAGGATTTTTTTTTTTTAAAGATTGGAGAGGCCTGTACACAATTATTAATCGAAAGGAGCTAGTCTTGGAAAGACTGAATACACAGTAAAGAGGGAGGACCCTAGGAAGATGGGAAAATGAAAGTGAAAGTGTTAGTCGGTTAGTCGTATCTGACTCTTTGTGACTCCCCAGACTGTAGCCCTGCCAGGCTCCTCTGTCCTTGGAATTCTCCAGGCAAGAATACTGGAGTGGGTTTGCCATTCCCTTCTCCAGGGGATCTTCCTGGTCCAGGGAAATGAACCCAGGTCTCCCGCATTACAGGAAGGCTCTTTATTGTCTGAGCTACCAGGGAAGCCCAGAAAGATGGGAGGGAATATGAAATATATGGCAAATTCTACTGTTGGTAGCTCAGACGGTAAAGCGTCTGCCTACAATGCAGGAGACCCGGGTTCGACCCCTGGGTCGGGAAGATTCCCCTGGAGAAGGAAATGGCAACCCACTCCAGTATTCTTGCCTGAAAAATCCCATGGACTGAGGATCCTGGTAGGCTACAGTCCATGGGGTCGCAAAGAGTCGGACATGACTGAGCAACTTCACTTATTTACTTTACTGATAGCCCACCCAACAATCATGCTTCTGCCACACTCCCCATTGTTCTTTGCTGGCAGAATTTCCCCACTGAGAGGGGAACTGCTAGATACTTGTATTTTCAGCCTCCCCTTGGAACCAGTTAGGACCTCATGGGAAGTAGCAGGGGCGGGGGTGGGGGGTAGTTCTAGGAGAAATTTTCCTTAAAAAAAGAGACCCATGGAAGAAAGTACAACCCTTCTTTGCTAGATATGGTTGTGTGCAAACAATGCCCGGTCTGCTGTGGCCAGAGGAATGATGTTGCCGACACTCTGAGAGTGGTAGAGTGGAATATGGAAAGCACTCAGGTCTGTGATGACTCAAGTCTTGTGAGAGAATAACTGTCCTCATAGATGAGGCTACTCTGTAAGTTGGATACTGTTGCTTGTAATAGCCCCTGGGATCATCCTAAGCCTTGGTTACCCCTGCATTCTACCAGCGTTGTTAGAGATGTAATTTACTCCCTGATGAACTTCCTGGAAGCAGATCTTCTCTCTTTCTGTGAACCCCCATAAGACAGAACCCCAGTTGCTTGAGAGATTCACACTTCACTGCTCTTTCTGACTTCTCTCCAGTCCATGCTACACAGTGCTATCATAGCCAACTTTCCCCCAAATTATTTTTAGCATTTTTATTCAGCTTAAAAATCTTTACAGGCTCAGGAATTCCCCGGAGGTCCAGTAGTTAGTTAGGACGTCATGCTCCCCCTGCACGGGGCACCAGTTTGATCCCTAGGTCAGGGAACTAGGATCCCACAAAACAAAAATGGAAAACAAATTTACTGGCTCCGTAGTACCTCTAAAAATAAAGTACAAATTCTGTAGCTCGACGTTCAAAATCCTCTACAGTTTGGCTCCAACCTTCTTGTTCAACCTCATTCTTCCCTTTCCTCACCTGAGCTCCATGGGCCAACCAGAACATTGTATCCACTGTCCAGGCCGTGTTCCTGGCAATCTCTGTTTT